CTTCCCACTGTCGCCAAAGTGCTGCTCATAGGGGGTCATATGATTGTTGGGCTTTTCTCTGTATCTATTATTGTAGGCTCTACTGTACAATATAAAGCACATTGAGGCGACTGTTGTTGTGATTTGGCGCTGTGTAAATAAATTTGAATTGAATTTCATATTTTTTAATGTAATGTACTTTGCAGAAGGATCTGATCTGGAGCTTATATCTATCATTGAATTTAACAGTCTCTAGTATCTTGTCTTTAAGCTTGCTGCTACCTTTGCTGGTCAAAGAGATTTGATCCCAGCGGCACTTCCTTTTTACATACAGATAAATATAATAGATAAAAGCTGACGTGTTTATGTGGCTTAAAATGACAACTTTTGAGTTTGTCTTTTAACATTAGCTGTTAGCTTAGACAGAATGAATGAGTGTATCCCTGCATGTTTGCTAACAGCTGGGATTCTGATTGTTTTAGGAGGTAATTCAGTATCTGACACAGCATTTATGTTACAGTTACCTTTAACATTGAACATGTAACAGTTTAGAACTGTCCACACATTTGTTAAGGTTTTGAGACTGTGGTCATGCAGGCTTCAGCCACTCATTGATGATAAGCATCATGTCTGTACCAACAAAACGAAACGATTCCAGCATGGTTGCATTTTAATTTGTGAATTGTTGTTGTTAAGGTTTACTTTATCAGTTCCCGAGAAACGATTACATGTTTCAGCTGGTTGGCACCGGCAGAGATTTTACATCTGTCTGTTTAAACCACAGGAAGAGGTAACCTCAGTACTTTGTGTTACCTTGTAGCTAGTCATCGACATCTTCAGAGAGGAAATGGGTCAACTAAGGTAAATTTTTTGCGGTTCTTTAAAATTTTTTTTTTTAAAGAGTTCTGAAACAAATGCAGAGAAAGATTCAGAGAATGAGCTCTAAATCTAAAAAAGAGCAAGCTAAGAAGTCACATAGATTCATTCACTACAAGCTTTTTGTGTGAATAATAAATAAAGTTAGAAAAAAATGGGCTGAAAATTAGTTCTGCCCCTCACTGCAGAGGGAAAGGTCATAAAAAACATGCCAGACTCTAGATGTTAGAGTCCATGATCCAAATTATTCTCTTTATTCATGACGAGCTAAGATGTCTCCATTCAGGACAGACTTTTATTGTGAAGGGTCACATTTCTGCCAGTATCTTTGAGGTTTAACACTGAAATGCTCGCAGCTTCTTAAATTTATGACAACACAGAAGCAACTGAAATGTCAGATCGCCAGAAACCAAATCAGAAATACGTTCATGAATATTTCAAGCGACGGTTCAGGATCCTCATCACAAAAATAACACAAAATTTAACAAAATAAAACAAACATGTACCTGAGAGCACAAAGCAGAGAATAATCCATGATGTCCTCCCCCATTTTGACAAATTCAAGCTACGATGGCGCTCACACGAAACAACGCTTGACATGTTTCCTGACTGAAACCACAGGATAAAGATTTCCTACTGCGAGAGCGCGCAGATTAAATACTCCAGGGTGGGGTGTGTGTGTGTGTGGGGGGGGGGGGGTATCACTTCCTCCCAGCATAACGAATCTGTGTGGGGTACAAAACAAAGTTTGCAGCAGGAGGTTGCTGCCCAACATGTTGATGAAATCCTCTCTCATCAGGGTCCAGTGAGTTTCACGATCAGCCTTTTTCAGCCTTTTACACGTTTATTTGGTTTCATGAAAATTTTACAACTTCAAACTTCACTTTTCCTCTGAGTGTTGTTACAATGTCTCCACCATGTTGGTGTAAAGGGTCAGTCTGATTCACAGGACCAGATCCACTGACAGTCTGCACCTGTTGGCTGCACACTTTGGGACTGACTCCACTATGTTTGTAGTTTCAGTTTTAAAGGATAAAATGTTGGAAAGTGTACCTGCTACAGGCCCGGCGTCTCAGAGCTGTGACTCCTCCCACCTGGAGGACTCGTGTTTTTGGTCCTCGTGTTTACTGGTACTGTGATGAAACAGAGGGAGGAGGTGGACATTCCCATTAGAGGATGTAAACAAGGCTGCGTCTTGTATCAGTTGTCACAGCCAGGCGAGTTATTTTTTACTGTAAGCTGATGGTTTTTCTGTGTTTCCTGTTTCTGGCACATTTCTAATGAACGATTTGCACAAAAAAGTCCCGGCATGTTTGTACTTAGCAGTGCACACACAAAGAGAGACTGTTTTTTCTACTTCTCTATTAATTTTCTTTTGTTGCATTGTTGTTTCAGATTCTCAGAGATGTTCTCAGAGATGTTCCCACACTGTTCAACAATTTACAGACGTTTCATTGTTTCTGTCATGAAGCAGTGCTTCTGTATCAGAGCTACGATGGAGGAGCAAACACTCCCTGGAACAGCTGGAGCGATGTGTGATCGGCTCTTCACTCTCAACGCTGAACATCCAGAACATCCAGCTACACATTTCAGGCAGCCCAGAACGTTGTTGGACTTGGAGAAACATGCTGATCTTGGATGATACGTGCCGGGATGTGTGGAGGACCCCACACACCCCTCACACACACTCTCCATCCTGCTGCCTTCTAGCAAAAGGTACCGGAGCATTCAGGCCTTCACTGTCAGACACTCAGTGACTGGACTGACACACACACACATTCATACACCAAGTTGATTTTGCACATTTCTATTGCAATGTTGTGTCTGTATCATTCTGTTCTGTCTTTGTTTGGTTTGGTTTTTTGCAATTTCTGCACATTCCACACATTCACGTCTACTGATGTGTTGGTGGTTCAACTTATCGTTAACATCAAATAGTAAAAGGACGTGTTTGTAAAGCACCCTTCAGCTGAGCTGCAAGTCTTGTTCACCCTGTTACACACACACACACCTGCACAGACACACACACACAGGTGGATTATCATCACAGACTGCTCACCAGAAACAGTGTGGTACATGTGTACCTGTGAAACAGTGTCTCAGCTACACTCCCCCAAACAGTTGCTTTTTAACATTTCTGGCTGTTTGGAAATCGTTATGTTCGGGCCTGCTGCTGGGTCAGCACACTGGCAGCAGATGGCCCCGCCCCTCCCTGAAACTGGTTCTGCTGGAGGTTTCTTCCTATTAAAAGGGAGTTTTTCCTTCCCACTGTCAACACTTGCTCATAAAGGGTCACATGATTGCTGGGGATTTCTTTGTTTTTAGTATTGTGGGATCTTTACAATATAAAGTACCTTGAGGCAACTGTTGTTGGGATTTGGTGCTATATAAATAGAACTGAAGTGAATTGTTGAACTTTAAAAGCACCGAACCCAAACAGCTTCCTCCAAAGCGTACCTGGCAACAGGAAGGCACTGAGCTCAAACTCAAACAGCTGGTAGTTTGGTCAAATCATGCTCTTACTACAAATGAACGGCTCTGGAGTTTGTTTGGAGTTTGATCGAGAGCATCATCACTAAAACATCTCACCCGATTACAATGACAGTGTTCACATCAGAGCTCGATTTAAACAGAATGAACAGGGCAGGTGTAAAAAAAACACCCCGAGAGTCATAGCAAGGCATTTTTACTAAAAGAATTTTAAAAATTCAGTCATATTATTGTCTCGGTGTAAGAGCTGTAGGCGTTTCAGACTCAAACGTGGGACGTCTGACTAATTTACAAAATTTGCAAATTTGTAAATTAGTAAATTTACAAAATGGTAACAACAGGTGTTCAAAAGTTTCTGATGAGGATACCTTAATCTGCCTCAATACCCAAGACTAAAACTAACACTAAAACACTGAAACACATACAAACTAAACATTTAAAAAGAACAAAATGAACAAACACACTCTGGAAACTATCTGAAGCTGAATTAAATCAAAAAGTCAGAATGGTGATTACAAAAACGAATAACTCTGCCCGTTCATTCTGGCACATGAAAGCTAATGAGTTTCGCCTCGGTCTGGCACGTGGGGTTCACCTATCTCAGTCCTCACACAGGCACCGCTGAGTCACAGCTGTACTTTTCCATGTCTCTCCCACATACATACATTTAGCCAACAAGTTGAACTCTCGATGGAAACTATACATGCATAACTAGCTCTGTGCGTTTGCAGAGGTGTGAAGACCACTCGCTCTTGAACAACTTTTTTAGCCACTGACAGTGTCGGGCTGCCTCAGCACACCTACTTGTGGTTAAGACATGTAAAAAAACACCAACTTTGTACTCAGGCTTAAGAAAATGTTAAAAATGTGTTAGCTGTGTTTCCATACTGCTTCTCCAGTTCAAACTGGCCTGTTTCTCACTGGTTCTTACAGATCTCAGAGCAAACCTCCTCATAGACTGTATATAAAAGATGGACAGAGCCAACTTTAGATCAGCTGTTGGTTTGTGAAGCCCAGTTTTAAAGCTGCAGCTTTATAATTGTGGCTGCTAACATTATGACCTAGACGGGAGGGTGAACTGCAGTGTTATTGGCTAACACTAGCTAGCTTAGTTAGCAAGTTGCTTTTATTTTTTTATTATTAGATAAAGATCACCTGACTTTAAAAACTGCAGTTTTAGAATGATAAACCACTTATTATGGGAATAGAGGTTATCCAAACCTACCTGGCCCTGTGTGAAAAAGTAATGGTAACCTAATAA